GTGTTCGGTTCCGACTCCTTGGGACCGTATGCACTACAGAGCGAAGCACTGCCCGGCCCTCCGTCATCCTCACAATTATCCTTTTATTTGAGCCGTCGATACAGCAGCCACTGTGTGTCAATCCATCTTGTCCAGGAACTTCCTCTTTTTCGCTGCACCTCCACCTTCTCCAGGGACCGGTCTCTGCGGACAACCTGTGCTAAGTACCGGAGACCAAGTCGCGCATCCTGGCCTTTGTGTTGGCAGCCCATAGTACTTCGAGTATTCTTCGCCAGCACCATAATTCAAACCCACGGCTCCTTCTTCCTTATTCCATTTCCAATGTTCACATGCATCTGAGGCCATTGAATGATTATGGCTTGGGTCGGGTGCACCTTAGACCTTTAAGGAATCTTGCTTTTCAACACTTTAAAAAGCCCTTGTCCTTGCAGAGCAGATTAACCCAATAGAATGTATCCTTTGAACCCTGGACTGCTGCTTCTATGAGCATAGGTTGTGGTTCCCAGCAAGACAAAATCCCTGACGGCTTCAATCTTTTCTCCATTTACCATGATGCCACCACTGCTCCGGTTGTAAGAGTTTTGGTTTTCTTGATTTTGTGTTGTAATCCATACTGAACACCGCAACCCTTGATTTTCACCAGCAAGTGCTTCGAGTCCTCCTCACTTTCAACAAACGAGGTTGTGTCATTAGTTTGTTTGCACGACTGTCTCTTGACCCATTTATAGGCTCCACCCGAGAACCATGTATTGTTCTGGAATTTCCATTCTTCTCAAGGCTATCCATAGTTGGGGTGTTGTTTTTTTTATTGTCCACACAGTCTAATGTCTTGGCATAGTAAATAAAACACAAGCAAGCTTATTTCTGGTATTCTCTGCTTTGAGCTAAGATCCATGTGACATCGGCAGTGATAGCCCTCATGCCATGTCCTCCTCTGGATCGGTTCTGAACTCATCCATGTACTGCCACAACCATTGCTGGATGATCTTCGGCAACATTTTGCTTGCATGTGATATTAGTGATATTGTTCTATAAGTTGAACATTCTGTTGGGTCACCGGTTTTTTTTTTGAATGGGTACAAATATGGGTCTCTTCCCTTCAGCTGGTCAAGTAGCTGTCTTTTACATTTCCTAGAATAGACAAGTGAGGGCTTCCAGTGCTTCTTCAGCTTGTTGAATCATTTCCATTGGTATTTCATCAATGTCTAGTGGGGCTAATTGCTTTCAGTGTAGTTTGAATTATTTCCTTCAGTATAATTGTTTCTTAATCATATGCTACCTCCTGAAATGGTGGGATGTCAACTAGTTCTTTTTGGTACAGTGACTCCGTGTATTCTTTCCATCTTCTATTGATGCTTCCTGCGTCGTTCAATGTTTGCCCATAGGATCTTTCAATATTGCAACTGGAAGCGTGAATTTTTTCTTGTGTTCTTTCCATGTCAGATATGCCGAGCCTGTTCTTCCTTTTTGGTTTTTTAACTCTAGGTCTTCGGACATTTCATTATAATATTTTACTTTGTCTTCACGAGCTACCCTTTGAAATGTTCTGTTCAGCTCTTTGACATCATCATTTCTTCCATGTGCCTGATGGCCATATACACTGTGATCAAGAACTGATATAATGGAGTCTCTTCTGACATCCACTTTAACATTTCTTTTAGTTTTTCCTGTGTTTTTAATGACCTTTTGTGTTCGTCACGTATGGCGTTCTTGCCGTCTCCCACAGCTCTTGTGGTCTTCCTTCATTAATATTCAATGCATCAAATCTTTTCTTGAGATGTCCTAGAGCAGTGGTGCTCAACCTTCCTAATGCCGTGACCCTTTCATACACTTCCTCATATTGTGGTGACCCCCCAAACCCAAAAATTATTTTTGTTGCTACTTCATCACTCATTTTGCTACTGTTATGAATCAGTCGTGACCCACAGGTTGAGAACCGCTGGTCTCATTTTTAGCTGCTGCTATTGAGCCTCTCCATCGCCTCTTCCCACAGAGGTAGCCAATATGCTTTCTGTGTGCTCCATCTGGAGCAGTCCAGGCATATAGTCACCTTTTGAGTTGTTGACAAAAAAGGTATTTGTGATGAAGAAGCCATTGGTCTTGCAAAGTTCCATCACATGATCTCCAGCTTCGTTTCTCTTTCCAAGACCATATTTTTCAACTACCGTACCTTCCTGTTTGTTTCCAACTTTTACATTCCAATTGCCAATAATTATCAATGCATCTTGATCGCATGTTTGATCAATTTCAGACTGAAAATGTTGGTAGAACTTTTCATGGGG